TCTGTAATTATTAACGGGTTCGAGTTCGAATATGCTTCAAACCCGACCCGACCCGACCCTTACGGAGCACTAGTGTTGACCAATCATTACGACGCAAATTGGGTTAGATTATCGAAAAAAGTTAGTATCGTCCCAACGGCAAATTTTTATCTATTATGATTCACGTAATAAAGATCAAAAAAAGTTTAACTTTTACCTAATAGAAGTGTATTAAGGAATGCCTTAATTTCTTCATCATTTCCTTCGAAATATTCAAGTCGGTTCTTCATATCCATCCTTAGAAGTTGACCTTTGATTGTACCACGCATCTTGTGAAAAGGTTTTCTAATTTCGAGTTCTTCCACTTGTTATCCATTACCATTATCTGTTATTATTAAAAGTAAAAAATTTTTTTTCTAGATAGATAGTTTCAAGAAATAAGTATAATGAAAGCCGAATTTCTGGAGAGAGATTGAGTTTTACTGTATATTAGACTTATTGACTATATATATATACAGTATATATGATTCGTAATAAACTTTTATTAAACTGTGAACGCCGTTGTAAGTACATTGATTGAGAACGCGTTTTGTAAGTCCGAACTCAACCGGTTGATAAAAAACTTTTTTTTTTGACTTAACAATACCTAATATCATTACAAAATTCGAGTCATCGTGAAATATTTTGAATATATAATATATAATTTTTTTCCGATGTCACATAAACTTTATTAATAATTTCATATTCAGCAGTAGAGAAGCGAATGAAATGCGTGATGCTATCAAAGAGGGAGTACGCGGATCCTAGGCCATTTAATGCGAGTCCCAGCATCATATTTATTTCATTGCTCCCTGAATAATTTCTATAGCCAATTTATTTCACGCCGTTTTCTACAAACACGAAATAAACTATATTTACAAACTTTCCCACCCGCACAGATTATGAAAAAGTTTCTATTTAAGATTAAATAATTTCGATACTATAAGAAGTATTCCGAAGATTAATAATGGCCTTTCCAAGTAATATAATATTTCCGATTCATACTTACTAATATACTTCATTTTCACAACATTCTATCCGCCTCATATACAAGGAATTGATTGCTTAATTTTTTTCTGCAAGTTTCTAGAATTCGGCACGTGAAAATGCTTATGAAATTCGAATTTGGATGAACGGCGTTAAAAATTTAAAATTTTTTTTTTAAAAAAATTTTCTTATATTTTGGGATCCAATTTATAAATTTATCCTTTATTTTTTTTATTTTTTTTGGTGCAATTATGAATTTGTACATTTTTTTGACGAGCTAAATTTTCGAATTTGGTTATTTTATACATTTTTTTTTGTGCGAACCTAACAATTTGTAATTCGAATTTAGTTAAAATATACAGTTTATTGTATAATTAGCTTAATATTTTTAAATAAAAATCAAAGGAAGAAATCTTTTTTTTGTTATAATATAAAATTAATCGCAATTCGGTTTTCGGTTTTATTACAACCGAATATCAGTTTCATTTAAATCCGGGTCTCAATTTAAAAACCGGGCTTTGTAAATAAAACCGATTCCAACCTCTAAGTAAAATCTGATTCACTCTTGTTTATAAAATAATTAATAATAAAAAAAAATACATTCTACGATTTCATTTTTTTTTTTAATTATAATTGGCCAGAATTACGGTTTCTGAACGAAGCATAATTTTTTCAACGCGAACTTTATAATTATGTATTGACACGTATTCTATGTATTGACACATATTTTATAATATGATTAATGAATTTTTTTTTACAGTCACCGGCGAAAGTCGTAGCATGTTCATTTTTCACTCTAGAATTTTCCAGTATTTCTAGAGTGTTCTTTATAAATAATATTTAATAA